ATTCAGTATAGAAACTTACAGTAGTATTTTAAGTCATGGTTTAAAATTTCACAAATGGTGTGTGAGATTTGGTGTTCTCATAGCAGTGGCTGTACAGATTGCTGTCTGGGATGTGATGCGATCGGTATATAGGAACCAACCTTTTGGAGAAAACTGTTGCCTACATCTTCAAGATAGAAGTTGGAGGCATCACATTCCTCCAAAATATTACTCTCATCAACTAAACTGCATGTCATAACAGCCTAGAAAACTGTAACCTTCTTAATTGGTACTTCACTGTGCATTTAAATTTAAAATTTTGTATTTGTGATATTGATTTATTTGGTATTGGCTTCGAATGTCTGTATTCTTTTGAGCAGTTGACTGAATATGTTCTCATTTGCTCTCTCTGCTGTCTTTTTTAGACTGCTGAAAAAATGGGGGAGGTTGACAGGGTGGCTCTCATGATAGAAGAATGTCGTGGCCTTGACAAATTGGAGCTTCTGCAAAATCATGAAAATGAGCAAGTTTATCAAAAAAGCTTAAACATCATTGATAATTACTTCTCTGAGGGGGTGAGTATGACATACATAATAGGAATGTTTTTTAAGTTTGATATTTGCATTGAACCCTGGAGAACAGGTTACAATGTGACATTTTTTTTTCCTTATTTGTTTATGTTTATTGTGACAGCTTTTAAAGATGAAATTTATGTGTGAGGTAGAGGTTTTATGAAATTAATGCCATGAGGCCTGGTTCATATTAGGGAGAGAAATGCATACAAAATGGAACGGAAAAGTGGGTTCCATTTTATCATTTGGATCAAGAGTTTACTTTGTTACATATATTTCTTCATTACAAATTTGTATTAAAATATGAAAGTAATATTACATGAGAGAGATATTTCTAAAATACTGCAGAATAATAAGCTGTAGAATATATTTTAAACCAATATTAAAACTTAATGCTGAAATTTGGACTTTTGTAAAGAGGGAAAAGCAACATCAAAGCAATGACAGATATTTTTAGAAGCAGTAAAGGAAAACCAGGAAGGAAACAATTTTTTTTAAGAGAAGGTGGAATTAGAAGTTTGTTGACACAATTAGAAGAGAAACTACTGCATTTGTTTGGCCAAGTAAGAACTATGGGTGGGACAAAGATATGGAGCATGTTAGAAATAGAATTTGAAGGGGATCATCCTTAGGGGATGACCAAAAACAAAATGGTTCAATCAGGTACTGGGAGATATCAGGAGGAAAGGAAGGAGCTGGAAAGAAATTAGAAAGAAAAGATTGTGGGAAAGTACAAGATATTGTTTTGTCATTGAGAGTTTGAGATAGGAATATGCCTGATTTCTTGTGTTGGTGCTTGTGTAGTGTTGAGTTCTGTGTGTGAAAGAGAAATTTGAATGGTTGCTATGGTGGTTTATACCATTTTGAAACAAAAACCCTCACCCATGAAAAGATATTAGATTGTTAATTTCATGTTCTTTTTTGTACTGATTTTATATTCATCTCAAACAGGATGGTGAGGACCTCAGCACAGTTCCTTGTCAGACAAATGGTCAACTGGACTTCAGCATCACCAAATCAGTTCCGGATGGTGGATTCTCATTCTAAACATGATCTGTTGTGTTGATACCATGCCAAAATGGATAAAGACTTCACATTTGAACTCATTCACCAAGCCCCGGATTGTTTTGATTCTTAAAAGCATTTTTTTTATGTTGAGATTTCAATTATCAATCATGCATTCTTCTTTGTATTATATAAGTAACTACTTTGATCAGTGCCAGAATTTTTAGGTGCACTATTAGAATAGTATTAATCACAACTGAATTGTTGAGTTGTTGATAGTAGGCTGAACTTCTAATTCTCTATCCTGTTATTTCCTGTACAGTTTTACTGTTGTGTTCTGTCAATAAACCATTTGCAGTTATTGGGTGTTATAATATCAAAATGTTGGTACCATTAGATTACATTTGTACATTAGATAACTTAGCATTTCAGACCATGTCCAAAATACATGGCCCAACTTTGGTGTAAATTTGCCTTGGAATCTACCATATCCAAACCTTGGATGGATCTCTGGTCCCAATGTATGTCACTCCATACTGTCATGTGTATAGACTGCAGATTGGGTGTGGATTGGTAATCAGATTTACTGGACTGTTATGCAACTTGTGATTACACTTTGTAAATCACTATCACACAAAGACTAGTGTCCAGTCACTCATCACCTTCTCATATGAATGACCTTGACAGTGTTACCTCGGATGTAAACCGACTGTTGGTTTCCACACATCACTGTTGGTCACTGTCCAACCATTAAAAACACTTGTGACATAACTGATATTTTGCACTTGGGCCCCTAGTGCATGTACTATTATTTTCCTGATGATACCACTTATGGAGTTTTATTTTGGGAGATGGTTTTAATAAGTATTTGAGATTTAATCAGAATCATTACAGCAATTTTTGAGAAAGTCACATTTTCTTTTTGTGGCAACTCTGAGGGCCTCTATTTTTGAGGTAGAATGTTCATATTCAGTGGGTCCATACCCATGATAAATAAACTTAAGTATGAACTACGAAAAAAATCCATCCAAATGTTCAGTTGCCAGCAAGGGACCACATCTGTACATGCATATAAAGGCAAAAGGTAAAGGTATCCCTGTAACAAGCCGTGAAGGCCCATAGAGTTGTGAGAGGCTGAGGCTACCACATATAGACAAACTGGCAGCCTTTTACCCCCGGGAAGATTCCTGGTGCTCATTTCTCTTAGAGGTTGATTCGGCCCCAGAGCCATAGTGTGGCTGGAAAGATTAGGGCAACTGAGAAAAATAACCTCATCAGGACTCGAACCCGCGACCTTCTGCTTTGTAGCATAGTGTCTCAACCAACTACGCTACCGCGCCCCCCCCCCCCATACATCCATACAGATGATATTACAAAAACCATCTTTTTTCATCAAAACACATACTTAGTCTTTAAATAAATAAAAATTTGGTCACGTGTGTCGGCCGGGCCCGAGATCAGGCAAAGAAGGTGAAGGCAAACAACAAAATACTTCTCTGCTCTCAAGCCCGTTACTGTACGCTGTGGTGATTTGTAGTGTGTAGATGGTGTATACTCTAGATTAGTGAGAGTATTATGATTATTTGTAGTTACGAGTCGCAAGCGTTCACTAAATCCAATTATCAATCCAAACCCAGTGGCTGGCCATTAACACGTGACAATATGCTACTTCCCACTGACTGGTATTTATTAACTCTCATAATGTGTGTGTTTCACGCTCGAAGGGCTCAGAGGTTTGTGCAATCAATACATTCATTCATTCATCAGTAATCTGTCAGACGACAGGTCCACAGTCTCTTCCAAAACAGTTCCTCCACTTAATGCGATGTCAAGTTTTTTCTTTCAATTAAAATATCCTCTTCTGTCCCCAAGGTCATCCAGCATCATCTTACTTCTTCCTCGTCTTCTGGGCACTTCTATCCCCCCCCCCCCCGTTTGTTTTGTCTCCAGAGGAAACATCTCGCATATATGGTGTCTCTGTTTTTTGTAAGAGACTATCCAGGAAAAGTGATAATGTGGTAGTTTTTCCATTTGCTTTCCACATCGCAGTACAACAGCCATTCAAACCACTCTGGTCACACCTGTTGCTATACGAACTTGAACCACCTCAAGCATTATTTGCTCTGTGCTTCAAGTCGCTTCTGATGACACTGCTTCCGGCATCAGTTTACACTGCAGAAATTTATTTCTCCCAATTTTTATTGTTTTTTTATTTAAAAATGTTTCGTTTCAATAATTCCGCTGAAGAATGTGAATTACAGTCCGATATCGACTTTGCACAGAAGTTTTGCACTGACAATTATATGAAAATTAAATTGCTTAAAACCAATATACTGTTACTCGTAAAACTAACCGCATACATTATAATTTCCATGTTGATGATGTACTTATCGTAAGAATTTATTTTGTAAAAGATATTTGGTTATTATTAGATAGTAAACCGCATTTTCATACCTTTGTTGACTTCTTGTATTCCATTTCATTAAAATTCGTTTCGTCCCATAATATTTCTCCCCTGGACAATCTGAAATTTGTGCATATTGCCTTAATTGTACCAAAGGTTCAGTACGTGTCTGATACCTTTGGCGGATTTCGATAAACTGGAAAACGTCCAAAAGGAGTTTGCTAATTTATGCTAAAATTGATTCATTCCGTTCAGCTTTCCTTGAAGTTATATTCAGTACTGAATTATTTAAATTCTTGACCCGCGATGAAATTTTCATTATTTAGGGGTGTGACTACAGACGGGGTTCAGATTGCAAATTCGATTTATTGACCACTTATACACCCGACTCGGAGGTACAAGTAATTTCAGCTCCTCATAAGCCTTTTGCAGCCTGCTGTGTCTTCACCAGCCTCTCCCTGACAACGGCTTTTGTGGAGATTCTTCACCTCCACTCAATTTTTAACTTCACAGCCTCCCATGCAGAACTCCCGACTGAACTGTCAACTCACCTATAATGCCATCTCTTCTCAGCTCCCCTTGCGGAACTGAACTATCAAATCTCAACTGACCTGGTTGTGAATTCTCGGCACAAACAGCATACGAAACACCGTTGTTCCGTTGTTGCGTGCCTAATCGTTGACGCGGGAAACATTTTATCGATCCGTTGCTTAGAAAAGGGTTGCATGACACAGTTGTTTATTCGTCTGTCTCGAGGTCATTGCGTAGCAACGGCTGTACATGCAATCAGTCAATACAAGACCAGAAAATAATTATCAGAAACCAATTACTAATTTTATAGTTTATCGCTGAGATGTTACATCGTGCAATTTAGCAGGTTGATTCCACGGTTCAAGCAACTTGCCGCCTCAACTTGCGACATAAGTGGGAAGCGGCTCAGATCGCCACAGAGTATATTACGTGTTAGCAGAGAATAGTTCCAACTTCGTAACCAGTATCTGGAGCAATTTTAAGGTGACAGAAGAATTAGGGTGTTTTAAATTAAGATACAAACTCATTTGCAATATTCAGCATTGCTAATTAAATTACATTAATCTATATGTACACTTTAAAGGAATGTCTACTGTTGAACATCACTATCGATCACTATTGTGTTTAAAAGTTTTCTGAAATAAGATGAACTAAAATGGCGTCTGAAGTTTTCGGAAAAGTAGAGTATGTGCTGAATCGACGGAATTGGCGTTGTTAGCATCACTGGGATCACTGGTGCATGGGGACACATGAACCCATCTTGGATGGGGGGAACGGGAAGTGTTGCCTTTCATAGGTAAGGTCTTCTAGTGTAGGCGTTCGGGTATAGTTATTGACGAGAAACCCACTTGTTGCGTTTGTGAGTAGGGGACGAGAGGTCTTTGATTCATAGGTAAGCGGCTCTAGTGTAGGCGTTCGGGGACGGTTATTGACGAGATATCCACTTGTTGCGTATGCGATTAGATTACGAAAGAGCAACAATAAGATTATAAAAATACAATATTCATATTTAATTCTTTGCATTTCATATCATAAAGATAAATTTCGCTGTTTCGTAACGTTACAGTACTTGACAGCTGGGCTCGTACTCCATCAAAATCCACATTCTCAGACGTCAAAAATGGATAAACTGAGAAGAGCCCTAAGTGGCGATGACAGCCAACGTGAAGAACAAAGTGGAATTATGCCTCAGGTAAAATACACCAAAATAGTAATGTTAATTTCATGTCTGTTACATATGCAAAATCAGTGCCAATAGAGCGTCACAAATCAACCGTAATTTTATTTTCAGCTGTTAGAGTCGACGACACTAAGCTGGGAAACGAGAATAAAAGGATTTATTATCTGTTTTGTCATCGGTGTGTTATGTTCTGTTCTGGGATCTCTGTTCTTGTTCATGCATAAGGGCATGGCACTATTTGCAGTATTTTACACATTAGGCAACATTGTCTCCATAGCAAGGTGAGTTTTTATTTATTAAGTACGTCAGTTTGTTTTGTAAAGTATCATGAAGTTTTGCTACATTTTTCAGTAGTTTAAAGCCATTAATGTTTTATTCATATACATTTTAAGCACTGTCTGAACAGAAAAGTACTGTCTTCTTGGATATAATGCTCTGAAATCTGATAGATGTCCATCAGTATACCAGAGAAATAGACTGCCATTGTTTTCAGTGTCAAGGAGTAAGTCAAGCAAGAAACTAGCAAGAAGTAGGTTGCTGGTGTCTTGCTTGACTGACCGTTTGACCCCTAAAGATGAAGGGATGAAGGCAGGCAGTTCCATTGCAGTTTGGCTTGTTTCCTTTGATCTAATAGTTTCAAACGTCCTTTGTCAAACCGTGGATTATGCTTCTTCAATTTACAATGACGTAGACTCTCTTTGGCTGAGATTCTGATATTCTCTCTTAATCGTTTCCCAAGCTCTGTTGATGTCCACATCATAAGTTTTTCAAATCTATCAACCTGACTGAGATTTCAACACAATACTATTCTTTGCCCTCTAACTTATTTCATTGCTTGAGATTGAACCACACTCCATATGAATTTTCAATGGGCACATCCTGTTGTGTTAATTATATGAAATTCTTTATTAGAATCTGTCACAACGCAACAACAACGAAACAGTTAAATGTTTAATAGTATTTAGCTACATAAAATGCAGTTCAGTAATTTAAAAATGTGGTGTGTATTTGCCTGAACATGTGGGTACATTGTACTTTTGACAGATTTTTGGACATGGCAAAGTTTACTACCCTAATTCCATTATCTTACTATCTTTATGTAAACTCTCATTCCCAGTTGTCAGTTTGAAAATGTCTTCACAACCTACTAAGTAAAATAAAGTAAAGCTATCCCTGTAACCAGCCATGAAGGCCCATAGGGTTGTGAGATGTTGAGGATCCCACATTATCTAGACAATCTGCTTAAAGATGGCAGCAAGGTTGTCAGCCTTACATGCTGGCCTCGCTTTACTCCCCAGGAAAATTATTAAATAATTCCTGGTTCTCATTTGTGTTAGAGGCTGAGTCAACCCAGGGCCATAGTGGGTCTGGAAGGATTAGGTCAATTGAAAAAATCCAGTGACCTCATCGGGACTTGAACCCACGACCTTCCAGCTTGTAGCATAGCCCCTCAACCAACTATGCTACCGCATACCCCCTTCACACCCTACTTTGGCACTGAACTCTCCTAACAAAATTTTGATATGGTATTCAGGGAATTTATCAAATACACGTATTTCATTATAGAAGCTGCCTTTCATTTCAACAGTTTTATCCTCTGTTATGGCATGAACATTCAAAACAATGTATCACATCAGTGACCTTTTAGTGTTATGTATGACATCCTGTCAATAACGTATTTCATTATAGAAGCTGCCTTTCATTTCAACAGTTTTATCCTCTGTTATGGCATGAACATTCAAAACAATGTATCACATCAGTGACCTTTTAGTGTTATGTATGACATCCTGACAATAACATACTACCCTCTTAAGTGCTGAGATGATTCTCTAATGTGTATATGGTTTATCCTTACTGTTTGAAACTATTTATTATATATTAATTTTCAGTACATGTTTCCTTATGGGTCCCGTGAATCAAGTGAAGAAAATGTTTGCTCCAACACGAGTAATAGCCACTGTTTTGGTCATTGTAATGTTTGGACTCACACTGTTTGCAGCTCTTTGGGTAAGTATGTGAGGTTCAATTTAATAGAAGTTGTTCTGGGCAATTTTAGGAGCCACCTTTATTGATATACACAGTGTGTCCAGGTCCTGTTAGAACTGTGTTCATTAAAAATACAAGACATGAATTACTTTCAAAATTACACTATTTTTATTCAAAATAGTCTCCTTTTGAATCAGTACGTAGTTGGAATCGATTGAAAAGGTTTCGAAAACAGTCACTGTACTCCTTTTGTTGATTTGCATTTAAAACTGGTAGATTCCCTTTGGATGTCCTGGATAGTGTTGTGACGGTCCCCTTTGAACCCACGACCAACTTTTTGGAACAACCAGAAATCTGCTGGAGCCAAATCTGGTGAATACGGAGGATGATCAAGGACTGTGATCCCTTTTCTGGCCAAAAAATCACGCACGATCTTTGATTTGTGGGGTGGGGCATTGTCATGGAGGAGCGAGCAGGAACCTTGCTCTCGATATTAAAGTTGAATTTGAAGAATTCTTGCCCGCAAACCATTGAGGACTCCAAGATAATAATCATAATTCACTGTTTGACCTTCTGGCAGAAATTCTGTGTGAATAATCCCTTTGGAATTGAAGAAAACAGTTAGCAATGTCTTCTCGACTCTTTTGCATGCGTACTTACTTTGGTTTCGGCTTCTTTTGGCTCAGCCATGCTGCACTCTGCCGCTTTGTGAGAGGCTCATATTGAAAACACCATGTCTCATCACCAGTAACAATTTATTTTGTAAATTTTGTATCACTTTGGGAAAAACCATAACATGTCTTTGCAGTGTTCCACTCTGGCATGTTTTACATCACCTGACAGTGCGTGCGGTACAAACTGCGCACAGAACTTCCATTTGCCCAAATCCTAGGTCAAAATTTGATGCATAGTACTTTTTCATATTGCCAACAGCTCCTCAATGAGTCATGCAGAAACACATCTGTCTGATACAGGGATTTCGGTCACTTTTTTCACATTTTCTTCAGTGCAACTTGTTCTTGGCTTTGATGCACGTGGAGCGCCTTCAGTGTCCTCCCTGCTGTCACGAAATACAGCATACCATTCAAAAATGAGTGACTCAAACAATTAACTACCGTACACACTTTTCATCATTTTGTACGCTTCTCTGGCTGTTTTGCCTAACTTCAAACAAAATTTGATGTTGGCTCTCTGTTCAGCTGCCATTTGCCAACAAGCGTCAGAACAGTAGTGTTACATTCAAGATCAGAACACATGATGCAGCAATGCTTGCGCTTTGAAATTATAGACAGCCACAGCTGAAACGTCAAGCATCTTAACGCCACAACTCATAAACAGATGGCATAGCAGGGCAAAGTTAAAAAAAAGAGTCCTAACGGTTCCTGGACATACCGTGTATTATCATTTTCATGTCATAGTTGCTTGAGAGAGATGTCCAAGACACTGACACAAAGCATTCTGAGTATTTCTACTCAATAACATGATTCTAGTTGGTGTACCATGTACTACTTGTTAAGAGTGTCATGTCTTCAGAAAAGTACACTCAACTCTCAATTATCCAGGATAATGGTGGGGATGGAAATCACGATTAATCGAAAACCTGGTTAAGACAAATTTTATTAAAAGTAGTACTGTAATACTGTACCTTCATAATACTAGTCCTACCTGTATTTAAATTTATTCAACCTCATTTTTATGTCATCTCATGGCCTATTTAATAATTTTTTTTACATTACACTGAAGTATGAATTAGTTATTTCAATCACAGTGTTCAACAACATCCAACACTTTTTACGAATATTCACACTTAACACTTAAAAAAAATTAATATTGTCGTTTGCGCTATCGCGGCATTTTCCTTTTCACGGATATTCGTATGAAGCCTACGTAATATTAGCTTGTCACTTAATAAACTGTTCTCTTCACTCAAGATAGTCTATTAAGGATTCTGAATGATTAAGAGCAGCACCATGTAATATTTTATTACTACCATATTGCATTGCTAATTGTTTAACTACACCTCTTCTTCCCAACTGATTGATAATTTCAAGTTTCTGTTGAATACTTAACACAACACGCTTCCTTTTACACCCTGACATTTTGCTAACGCACTTGAAGATTGATACAAAAGACTAACTGGGGCGGTGAATCTGTCCTTGAAACTTTCCACAAATCCTTGCATTCTTTCACCCCTACCTTAGAACATTGTGTTAGCATAACTGGACCAAAAAATGCAGAGCTCGGTTCACACTAATGCGAAAATAGTGTTACAACTCACCATGTGAAACAAAAGTGAATGAATATTAACAACATATAAGCCTCAAAAAAGCCCCGGTTAAGCCGCAAACCGGTTTATCTGCCCCCGGATAATCAAGAGTTGAGTGTAGTTCCATTTCAAGTTTCCACACTCAAGTTACAACAAGGGATGCAGAACCTATAAATCACATTTAACAATAAGTATAACCTGGCAAAGCATTGAGCCAGCCTGGAATGACTATAGGATCAGATGTTTTGAAGAGTGCAAGAAAGAAAACAGATACAGTTTGTATCATATAAAACTAAAATATAGATGTTCTTTCATTCTGAATATGAGATTTTAGTTTAAATGTTACTTAGAATTGCTTTCCTTAAGGGTAACTTTAAACCAATCTTCCCCACTTCATAGCATTTGGTAGTACTGTAAAATTATATGCCTAGTTCAGCCCCACTATATTCTTGGAGGTGCAAAGGAAGTGACTGGACATAGGAAGCAAACGTTACATGATTCTTGCTAGTTCTGAATCTTACCACAGGTGCAATTTGCTTTGTTGGATTGTAGCAGATTTTATATTATGTGTGAGCACAAACATTAGGCAAAATGTATCTGCTTTAGACATGACTGTGTGTTGCATCTGAATGATTCTTTGCTGTTTGAACCAGAAGACTGAGCACCATAAAATCTGCCCTTAGACATTGTTCTCAAAGATTTCTAATTCAAGAAAATTCATTTTCTAAAATTTGCTTTCATATTATCCTCCCATTTTGATTTGTCTTCTAAGTGATCACCTTCCAATGGATTCTACTATTAAAATTTTGTGTGTATTTATTTCTCCCATGTAAACCACATATCTGGCCCATTTTAATTGTCTGAGTAGAACTCAAGAAATATACAACACAGAGTTCCTTGTTATGTCATTTCCTTAATTCTTCACTTGGTTCATTTCTTTTGTGTCTTGAATATTTTTCATAGAACTGTATTCTGTAATATTCTCAGATCAGTCATTTGGTCTTTGGAAAGTGGACAAAATGACAGCATTTTTTTTTTAATGGCATAGTAGGTGATTTTATTTTTCCATATCTTCCCCATGTTGAATGTTTTTATGATGAACAGTGTCATACTCCCACTTCATCATTCATCTTCGAACCTTAACTTAATTACTTTCCTTACTGCAGTCTGTAGAGTGAAGAAACAGTAGTGAGCATAGTGTGCAAGACATTTATTGTAGTTCTTTGAATTAGCTGAAGATTGTCTCTATACAATCAAGAGGTAGAATTCAGTGTAAATGCATTCTTGTAATATACTTTATGCTTAATTGTTGAATTATTTTTCACAGTCACTTGATCTGACAAGAAGAAAATATTGTCCATTTCTGTTGATGTATAAAAGCTTAAGAGCTTTGTAAGATATTGTTTACTTATTTATTCACTTGTGTTTGTAGCTGCAGAAAGCTGGACTAGCATTGCTGTTTGTGATCATCCAGTCTCTAGCAATGACATGGTACTCCCTGTCATATATTCCCTATGCGCGTGATGCTGTAAAGAAGACAGTCTCTGCATGTATTGCCTAAAACAGAACATCTGAACAACAATATTGACGGTGGAAGTTCGCTATGAAAATACCATTGAAGTTATTTCAAGAAGGCAGTGTCAGCTACTAATGCTATAAGTGTGGTAATCTTTGTTCAGATTTATATCAGGTGTTATGTCAGAAATCTTCCTCCAATTACTGGAACCATGAGGTTCTCTGTACTGAATGTGATGTGTTAGACTAGTATTTTGTGCCTTAAACTAGGGCTTTAAGATCATATATGGTCATATATAAATTTGTTTTTGGACTTTGCATGGTTCACTGTGATCGATTAATATTTTTAAGAAGAATGTATGTTATGTATGTCTTTAAAGTATGTTTCAGTTAAGTTGTGACACTATAATGTAAGTATATTACTGAGTGACTGTATTCTTGTCAGTTTTGATGTTGATGTTTAGATATGAATGTTTATGAATTAAGAATGTCAGAATCATTGAAAAAAATTACATTTCATAACAGAAAAGATTGTAAAATAACTTTGCCACAGTACTTTCAAAGGAAGGACATATCCTGTGCTAAATAGGCTTAAATATACTTTTGAAAAAACTTTTTAACCAAAAAAGGGTTAAATGTATATTTTGTGTATATCTTAATAGTGTAAGTCAATTCTAAGGGGTTCTTACAGTGGTAAATTGCACTTGTAATTACTAAATTTGTGGATTTTGTCAGTTGTCTAACATTCTGAAGGAACACAACATTTTGGAAACTAGGTTAATTTCAGCTAAGGATGAAAACAGATTCAGTTTCTAGTACATATTGTCGCGTATCGCGGGGTATATCGCGACAAATAACTTCTCGATGTATTTGATGTAGCGAATTTTATTTCACATTCGCTCATACAATCACCCAAATTACAGATTTACGATTACTGCTATCTGCAGTATCACAATTAGTACACTGAAAAATGCCACAATACAACTGACTAGTTGCTGGCTAACTCGGCGGTAGCTCCAGGACTCGCTGACTGTCTCAGTACAACTCGACTCGGCGACTGTTACAGTACAACTGACGGTGAATAGCCTTCGCTGCTCCCTATGTAGCCTTGATCGGACAATACGGCCACGTAATAGGCACCCTTGTTGCTAGCCACGCTGTCCGGTTACGTCACCGCTGTTGATTCGCCTTGCATAGTTACCCGGTTACGGGGCTCGGCTATCTTCGGCTCTGCTCGTGACGTCACCGCGCATGGCTGCCAGGATGCGGGGTGATTACTCGCCTATTACGCGAGCGTTACGTTACCGC